TGTGTGTGTGTATATATATGTTGTATTTTATAATTTCTACAACTAAGATAAAACCTTGTCCCCTGAAAATTATGTGGAGCAGAGACATGTTCAGAACATGGAAGAAAGGAGAAATGTACAAACACACAGGTGTGATTCATTCTGGCCAGAGGAGCGAAACTTAAATCACTGAAAGCAGCTATGCCAGCAGCTATAAAATGAGCCTACGTTTAAAAATAGCCTTAGAAACGATAATGTCTACATCTTATGCAGAAACCCCTCATAACAAAAGAAGACATACATACTCATTTCCAGAGCAATGACAGAGCAATTCTAGCCCATGCGGAGAGAATTTGGCTCGAGTCGTAATTGTAGAGATGTATGATGATGCTAACTCATGCCGGCAGGCTGGGTTCTTTCCCTGAGATCTTTTGAATGGAAGAGCTATGTGGATTTATTGTCCAACTTTTTATGTTTGCAGATGCATTTCATTGAAAGAAAAACATTGTCTGGAGGTTATCCGATGAAGGCAACTCTGACCCATCACCCCATGTTGCCGTGACACCTGAGACGGATGTAACGGGACAGGGTTTACAGTCACTTTTACATGTGGAGGTTTATTACATGCATGTGTGTCTTCCTTTGCCTCTTAAAAAAAAAAAGCCTTCGTTTCTCCCAAATGCCTTTGATGTGGGCAGAAACATAGCTTAGAAGCATAGCAATAGAATTTAGGATCTGTTTTTATTAAAGATTTCCCAATTAGTACTGAAGTAACTGAAGACTGCTTATGTATTGTGGTAATAATAGTAATAATAGTAATAAGAGCAACAGCAGTAATAATAAGCTACTACGTTAAGTGCTTAACCTACATAATCTCATTGATTCTTTACAGTATCCTTAGGAGCAAGGGTTTAGCACTGCCTCCATTTTAAGATGAGGAAACAGGTTCCCGGGTAGAGTGGCTTGCCCACATTCACAGTGAGTAATGGCGTCGGGCTGAGACCCTGGAGCCAGATTCCAGAGCCTGTGCTTGGACCGCTGCATCGCGCTGCCTCCCGCTGTGCTGCGTTCCGCAGTGGATTTAAGGATAGATACATCAGGACAGAGTTCATCCGAAGAGACAAGGAGCGACAAACTCTATCAGACTTTTGATTTTTCCAGTATGAGAATCACAAGGGGAAAAGGCTGGCTTACACATACCTTTCCTCTCCTGACCCACAAAGCAGACACATTTGCTTACAGAGCAGCGTTTTCTAGAGTTGCCCTTGAAGCTGGAGCAGGCTCTGAGGTCCTTCCTTGACCCTGAGAGGCAGACACAGCGGGAAAGCTGTGTCTGTACAAGAATTCAGGAATGTCTCTCTGCTGGTGGGTTCTGAAGGCGAGCGTCCTCACCTAGATCCTTCTGTGAACCCTGCTGGCAGAAGCTGTCCAGGAGTCGTGTTTCTGCCTGGGTCGCGCATTCATTCCTGGAGCTGGTGCCAGAGCCCTCGGCAGCATGTGGTGAGTGGCTGCCGTGGTTTCCTCTGGGCGTGGCCAGCTGGAAATCCCTCCCTGGGGACCTTCCCACCTCGGCCCCTGCTGTGTACTTCGATCAGAATCTGTGCAGGTCGTGAGGCCTAGATCCGCACAGAGCCCAGTGCCACCGTGTGTTTACGCCTCTCAGCTTTCCCACAATCCATGCGGATTGCCTATTTTCATTCCCACTTGAGGAGACGCTACGTTCCTTCCTGTGAATATTAGTTTTCGGTTGTGACAAGTTATCACAAACTTGGTGGCTTAAAACAACAGAAATTTATTCTTTCGCTGTTCTGGAGGCCAGAAGTTTGAACTGAGGCTCAGGGGCTAAAAATAAGTTGTCAGCAGGGCTGGTTCCTTCTAGAGGCTCTGAGAGGGAGCATCTGTTGGGTCCCTCTTCCAGCTTCTGATGGTTGCCTGTGTTCCGTAGTTTGTGGATATGTCATTCCAATCTACTTTTTCCTCCTCTGTGTCACACTTCTCTGCTTCACTCTTATAAGGACACTGTGATTACATTTAGGATAATCCAGGGTATTCTCCCCATGCCGAGATCCCCAATTTAATCACATCTGCCAANATCATTGTATTCTATGATGGTTAAAATCTATTACCTTCTCTCTGAGAAATGGGTCTCGTACATCCTGGTTAGTGTCAGGACTGAAAAGAGGCTAGATGTGTCGGGCCGGTACAGGCTTGTGTATCATAGATTGGGAGTGTGTAGGACAGGGTCTGTGAGGGGAAGGAGGAGGTGGGAGAGGAGCGTGTTTGTGTCAGGAAATTGATAGTGCAATTAACTTAAAAAGCCTTCCCCAGTCAGTTTCTTCTCCTGTGGATGTATCTGAAATACCATCCCATGAAGTGTAACGATATCTTTAAGATACAGGGTACTTAAGGGCAGGGAGATAATTATATCCTCTTGATTGTCCACATCCCAAATAAGGAACAGGGCTTTCTCTTAAAGGAGTGCAACACTGGAGCATAAGGGAAACATACATCTCTTCTGAGAGCTGAGCCCCCAGTGATGTGTGGGTTGGGGGCGAGGTGCAGAGCAGAGCAGAGAGCTGTTTCAGAGGGTGCATGACCGAGCCCTGGGGCAGGACAGATGAGCTCCAAGCCCGGCAGCCACTAGCCTATCACGTCTGAACTGAGCATTCGCAGATGCGGGACACTCGTGGCTGACACTGAAGATGCTTGTATTGTGTAAGTGATCCAAAGGGCATTGCTTTTTGGGGGGTGAGATGTAAATTTTGGATGCTTAATGAATAGATGCTTAATAATTAGTGATCATAAAAATTATACGGCAGTCTTCTCTTTCCTACAGAATGGATTTATCAACCCCAGACTTTGGGAAAAAAAAAAATCTGTTTCGTGTTGATTTTCTTTTAGTCAACATGTGTAATGCTGTATTCCTTTTTATTCCATTTCCCGCATTTGCTTTTAACGTGGCCCATCATCCTGGAAAGGGCAGATTAAAAATAAGCTTGGCAAGGCACACGGATCGGGGCTAATGCCGTCTTGTGCTCCTTCCAGGCGCAGCGTGAACTTCCTCGTCTCCCTTCCCAGCCAGCTCTCTGCCTCCTGTATCCACCATGGTGTTTGGTGAGTTTTTCCATCGCCCTGGACAAGACGAGGAACTTGTCAACTTGAACGTGGGGGGCTTTAAGCAGTCTGTCGACCAGAGCACCCTCCTGCGGTTTCCCCACACCAGGCTGGGAAAGCTGCTCACCTGCCACTCGGAAGAGGCCATCCTGGAGCTGTGCGATGACTACAGCGTGGCCGACAAAGAGTACTACTTCGATCGGAACCCCTCCTTGTTCAGATACGTTCTGAATTTTTATTACACGGGGAAGCTGCATGTCATGGAGGAGCTGTGCGTGTTCTCGTTCTGCCAGGAGATCGAGTACTGGGGCATCAATGAGCTCTTCATCGATTCCTGCTGCAGCAATCGCTACCAGGAGCGCAAGGCGGAGGACCACGAGAAGGACTGGGACCAGAAAAGCAACGATGTGAGTACCGACTCCTCCTTTGAAGAGTCCTCTCTGTTTGAGAAGGAGCTGGAGAAGTTCGACAAGCTGCGATTTGGTCAGCTCCGGAAGAAGATCTGGATTCGAATGGAAAACCCAGCCTACTGCCTGTCCGCCAAGCTGATCGCCATCTCTTCCTTGAGTGTGGTGCTGGCCTCCATTGTGGCCATGTGTGTCCACAGCATGTCGGAGTCCCAGAATGAGAATGGAGAGGTGGGTGGCCCTGTGCTAGAAGGCGTGGAGATTGTCTGCATTGCTTGGTTCACTGGCGAGCTGGCCATCCGGCTGGTGGCTGCTCCCTGTCAAAAGAAATTCTGGAAAAACCCCCTGAACATCATTGACTTTGTCTCCATTATCCCCTTCTATGCCACGTTGGCTGTCGACACCAAGGAGGAAGAGAGCGAGGACATTGAGAACGTGGGCAAGGTGGTCCAGATCCTCAGGCTTATGAGGATTTTCCGAATTCTCAAGCTTGCCCGGCACTCAGTAGGACTTCGGTCTCTAGGGGCCACCCTGAGACACAGCTACCATGAAGTTGGGCTGCTGCTTCTCTTCCTATCTGTGGGCATTTCCATCTTTTCTGTGCTCATCTATTCTGTGGAGAAAGATGACCCCACGTCCAGCCTCACCAGCATCCCGACCTGCTGGTGGTGGGCCACCATCAGCATGACGACTGTGGGCTATGGAGACACTCACCCCGTCACCTTGGCCGGGAAGCTTATCGCCAGCACATGCATCATCTGTGGCATCTTGGTGGTGGCCCTTCCCATCACCATTATCTTCAACAAGTTTTCCAAGTACTACCAGAAGCAAAAGGACATCGATGTGGACCAGTGCAGTGAGGACCCACCGGAGAAGTGTCACGAGCTACCTTACTTTAACATTAGGGACGTGTATGCACAGCGGATGCACGCCTTCCTTACCAGCCTGTCTTCTGTGGGAATTATGGGTGATCCTGATGGCACAGATGCCTCGAGTATTGAAGACGAGGATGTTTATAACACGGCCTCCTTGGAGAACTGCACAGCAAAATGAGCAGGGATGTGTGTTCCCGTCCCTTGTATCCCTTTCCCAACGTTAGGTTAACACAGCTTTATAAACCTTAATGGGTTTGTTAAAATCATTTAATTCTCAGGGTGTACCTTTCAGCCATAGTTGGACACTCATTGCTCTGAAATGATAGAATTGTCTTTATTTTTCTCAGCGAGGTGAATTAAATGCCTTGTTCTGAAATTTATTTTTTACAAGAGAGAGTTGTGATATGATTTTGGAGAAAACGGTAAATGATATTGGGTGGGATTTGTTGCTACGGCTTATATCATCCTGTGTTTGTCATTTACTCACATTGAGCTAACTGTAAATTACTGACCAGTAGAAGCAAAGGCCCAGCTGACAGAGGACTACATGCATGTAAGATCCACACAATGAGACAATGCATGTACATCCATGTTCACGTTCTAGACATGAAAATTAGGAGCCTAATAAACTGCCTAATTCAGTATGGAGAATGTCTTC